ATATAATTTAAGTTAAATAAAATTTTAAAAAATATTTAAATTAAAATCATATTTATTAATTCTTATAATATTAAACAATTATTACTTTAATATACAAAAAAAAAATTATATATGTAAAGAAAAAGTTTCCTCACTCATAGCACGAGTTAATATGTGTGAAGCGAAGTAACTTCATTCATGTTGGTAGTTGGTTAAATACATGGATAGGGTTGAAACAGATTGTGGGTTGAAAAGCTTTCCTCATACATATAGAACCGTGACGCACGAAACATTGGTGCACTTGTCAGCCTAACCAATTAAGGCTGTAAGTGAGATTAAGTGTTAATTTTAAGCACAAACACCCTTCTTGTGTTGCTAATGTACGTTATTTTTTTTTTAATAGATTATAATTTATAAAAAAAAATTTAAATCTTAATTTTTAAGTTAGAAATATAATTTATCACAAATTTATATAATTATTGAATTATGAGACTAAGATATAATATAAATCAAATATTTTAATTTATATTAAAAGTTTAAATTTTTATTAAGATATATATAATATATTTTTAAAAAATTCTTTTTTTTAAAAAAAATATTAATTTTAAAAAATTTTGGATATAAGACTTTTAATTTTGAGGTAGTACTGGGTAGGACTGACACTGAGTCTACTGACTTGGACCTGTAGTTGCACACCAGGTATGGAAAACGTGCATCAGGGAATCAAAAGGCCTTTTTGGGCGAGTGCGATGCGCGATTTGGCCTGCATAGGTAGTCGAGTCAGTACGTTTTGCTTAATTGCTCTTCGTTAGTACACTGTATTCTTTACGTACATGCATCAAATCACATACGAGAAAACTTTTTACTTTTCTTTCTTTACATTTATTTATACAACAAGAAACTATTCCTTCTATCTGTTAATATATATTTTTTTGAACCGCTTATAATTTAGGAAGAATTTTTATTTAAGATATTGGTAGGATTTGAAATTTTGATTAATAAACCTAAGCATTGTAAGGTTAAGGAGGCAATCCATCTGCATCCAAAGCTCGGTTCTCCTATTTGTTAATTTGATAAAAGAATTTAACGATAAATTAATGTGTTCTCGAACTCAATTAAGTGCAATTTGAGAATAATTAATCTCTGGTTCACGCTGCTAAAATCACTAAAATGTGTTAAAGCAGACCACAAAGATAAATACTTTTTATACTGAGTTGAACAGTGGATGAGGTCCATGATCCAAGGGCCGTTGGTGTAGGCCAAACCCAAAATCTGATGGGTTGGTTCCCAATTACTTGGTTTGGATTTCGAAACCAGGTTTTATTGGGCTTGGGCTTGGTAGCTCTTGTCTATGAATCTATGACTATGCCCGGCACCCGGCCCGTTACCCATTAAAAAAAAATTCAAACTTTTGTTTTTCTTTTCTTTTAAGAAAAAGAAAACTTATATCCAATTTGAGGTTATATTAAATTATAAAATAATAAATGTTGAGTAAAAGTGGTGGTCTCTTTGTATTGGGACATTTTTTTTTATATAAGATAGTAATATAAGAATAATTTTTTATATAATATTTACATATTATTAAATAAATAAATGTATTTAATATTATAATTTTAAATAAATAAAAAATTAATTATTAAAATAATACATAAAATTATATAAAAAAATAATATAAAAAATTTATTCTAAATCATTTTCCTTTCATTCAACTACTTTTTAAAATATTAAATATAAAATTCAAATCTCACATTTCAAACTAATACGATGAAATCTTTACAAGAAATTAATAGCCACTAAGTCACTAGCCGATGTCATCCAATTATTCTGCTTTGTAGTTTTAGGACTAAAAAAAATGAAAGGATGAGGGGCATACCCCATCATATTGCTTCCTCCCAACCAATTATACATTATATTTTGTAGTGCTGTACAGTGTGACATGCAAAATAAGAAAAAGAAAAAAGTCATAATTAAGAAAAGTTGATCATTTCAATCCAATGGCCATTGTGAATGAATTCAGCTCAAACATAACATTATTTGTTTTTAGAAGAAGAAATTTAATTCAAGGAAAAGGAGATGTTGGGTTTAGACGATTAGAGAAGTACGGAGATGGCTGTTCTTCTGAATTTTATGGTGGTGGGGCACTGGTTTTGTATTCGAATCAAGGAAATGGAGGAGGAAAACCATTACGGCGGAGTAAACAAACATGGGTATGGGACCAAAAAACCAGAGGAGCAGATTTAGGGCGAAGTAGAGTGCTCTGAGTCCGAGTGACCAAAAATCGCCGCCTCTGATCACTGCCCTCCTCACTTCTTCCACCGCAATGTCAATATCCGGCGTGCTTATGAGGTAATTTGCATGGACAAAGTGCCTTGCCGATTGAACAAAGCATGAGAAAGCGAGAAGGAAGCAGATCAGAAGGCAGATGTACTTCAAGGAGATGGTGGCGGGCCTTGTGTCACCGTATATCAAATCACTTGTGAAGACGGTGTTTACGTTGCCCCCAAGCCAGGCACCGATCAGGGAGCTGAGAGTCAACGCGACTGAGGCCAAGGTTGTTGCTGCCGTTGTGTTTGATGAAATTACTGTGAGAGCTGTATTCACTTCCTCTCTCTTATTGGTCTGCAAAAGTCAAAAACCCTATTTAATCAATTGATTGGAAAATGAAGAAAAAATTGGAGAGCAAGGAAGAAAGGTAGAATCTTGCCTGCATGATTTTTTCTACCCAGATTTCTCTATAGAAGTTTTCAAACCCCATGGCTGTTTTATGAGGGCGATTGAGGTACCTGTGAAGGAGGAAGAGATGGTAAGCAAACATGATCAGCAACCCACTAGGGACAAGCACAAGATCAAGGTACTCTTTTTTGAAAGACATCCTTTTTTTTTTTTTT